GAAGTGACCCAAGACCCGAATGCCTACCCATAAGGCTACCATGCGGACACATTGTTGGCCAGCACTGTTTCGAGACCTACCGACGCGCCACCAACGATGTAGAACAATGTCTCCTATGTCGCCAGAAGCTCCTTCCACTACTCCCTCGCACGAAACCCACTGCTCTTCTAGGCAGGGTATGTCGAACACCCTGGTTCCAGTGGCACGACCGCAAACTCGGATGGACCCCGTTCGGCGTCGAAGACATGGATGCATCAAGCAGCGAGATCAAAATGTACAACGGCGAGGTACTGACATGGTTCGACGTATTTATCATCATCGTGCACGACGAAGCCTCGCGCGCGTTCCTATTCATCACCCTTCCCATATTCGCCATCGTCGCTCCTATCGCGGTCTTCTGCCTGGCTTATCAGCGATTCGGGAATCCACCTCCATCGTACGTCGCTATCCACGATCCAGCTTTGCACGTTGCGTATGGCACATACTCGTACGGTTTAATGGAACGCTTCCCTGAACTACGACTCTTATGCGACATTGCAACTGGACATGCAATCTATGACCGCTCGCGTTCTGGCGCGCGTTCTGGCGAGGATGTCGTACCTGCCGTTTTCTTCATAATTGCAGGCTTTGCGTTCACTCGTTTGACATACGAAACACACTTTCCAAGGTCGAGCAGGAATATGTTGAAGTTTCTAGTGTACGGACGGCTGGTGTATGCTGTGTTGGGGTTTAGCGTCATTATGAGCTTCGGGTTCTTAGACATATTTGCATACCTGACTGTGGCGACTCTCGTCGTCCTAACTGCGAATGTGCGGGCAAGAGGAAGTATCCAAAATGCATAGTTCGGGAAGGAGCACGAAGCAAGAGTAGGCGACTGAATTAGAATGTTGACTCTTACAGTGCGAGAATGAGATTCATATAGTTCGACATGTAGTACGAATGCACCAGAACGATCTTGAACAGTGTTTGTTTGTAATTGGCGTTGTGAATCATGAACACCTCTTTTGTCTTTTTACGACCTTCGTATGTACGATCTCCGTGAACCGCTTATAATTCGTTCATGCCTCGTTCATGTCTTGAGCTCAAGGAATTCTAATCACCATATCTAGGCATCCGAAACCAAAATGTCCATGTCCAGCAAACCCACGCTTCTCGACCTACCCAACGAGCTCCTCCTCCAGATTGCCAGCTACCTAGAGCCCGACGTGAGAATCGACAAAGACGCTGGCTATGGTTCGCCCACTTGGCTTCCTCTTCATCCCAAAGATCCGCCGACAGCTACACTTCCTCAGAGTGCCACAGAGACACGGCAGAAACATAGAGAAAGCACGCAACCACTAGTGAATCTAGCATTGACATGCAAGCGGCTTGCACCCATAGCGCAAGAATTCTTGTTCAAAAATGTATCGCTACCGCGCCAATTACAAGACCGCGAACCGTCGTACGACGGCTTTTATGCATCGCCGATGCTGCATTTCTTGCGTACGATCATCGAGCGCCCCGATCTCGTGGAGAATGTGTGCAGTCTAGCGATATGGTTATGGAAAGGTGGGCCTATACGGCCGTTACAGTACCTAAGCGAATCGTCGGACCATGTCCCAGGCAGCTTAGCAGCAAAGATGGCCGATATCGTGTACACTCTTCCCGACGGCTCCCAGCGATCCGGCGCAGGTCACGCGCGATGGATACAGAGCCTCTCCTGCCCAAGCGAACTCATGGTCGCTAGTTTAATACTGGCGGCTTTGCCTCAACTGCGCGCCGTCGAAATCTACGCCAAAGCAGCTCCTAGTTCCAACAACGTGTATGGAAACCTTGGCTGGTTTCTCAGGAGAGAGGAAGAAACTGGTATCCGTCGGCTGAGTCAAGGTCTGGGGATGACGAGGGTGGAAAGCCTCACTTTATCTACCAACCTTGACTGGCTATGTATCAACATCAGCAGTCTCACACATCTGACCCTGGACTATAACGGGCGGCACCCATTTGCAAATTTCCTCAAGGGAGACATCGCGCCTATCACAGAGCCGACTATCCTCTGGGAATGCAATGACAATGTCGATCCATTAGGAAGGTCACAGCGTGAGAATGGAAAGAAGCTCAGGTACTTATGTAGAAGGCTCGAAAGTCTACACACGCTTCGTTTCAACTCCTCAGCGTACTTGCTTACAAGGAAAAGACCCCCCCACACGATGGAACGCATAGTCTTTCAGCCAGCTGACGCGTTGGCTTTCAAGTTTACGGAGAAGATTTGCGGTTGTGCTTTGGGTTATCGCCTCGATAGGTTGCGTGTTGTTGAGTTGCATCGGTTCATCGAAGGGCCTGTGCCTGCTACGGTCGTGCTAGAAAATGTTCGGACTCGGGATGTCGTGACTGGGCAGGACGTGTGGACTGTGTGGCGGTCTGAGCCGGGCTGTCCCCCAGTGAGTACTGGTCGTCTATCAACAAACAAAAATTTTCAACTCGATGATTAGAGGTAACGGGACGGCTTGAAGATGGTAGTTAGTAAGTCACAAATCGACACATCGGTCGCGGTTGGATTCTGACCGAATGATAAATCGCGTCTTTGTTGCCAATGACGGTCTTCGTTAACGTTTATTTATCATCTACTAACTACCTCGTTGGCGCATTCACCAGAGGTTCAGCGCAGCAGCACCAGCAAGGGCCAGCAGCGCAGAGCCCTCAATGCCGTACTTGTGAGCAGCACCGGTGCTCTCGGGCAGAGACGCAGATGCAGAATCAGATCCACTGGCAGCCGGTGTAGACGCTGAAGCCGAAGAAGCCATGGTGCTAGTCGGCATGACAGATCCACTGGGTGTCATCGCGCCCGTGCTAGCACTCCTCATAGTAGTAGCAACTGTGCTGCCAGCTTGCGCTGAGGCAGTCATGCTGGTCGCGGCACTTGCAGCAGGAGTCAAGAGGCTGTTTCCAGCAACGACGGTTGCAGAAAGGAACTGCACGTCATCACTCGAGAGTGTCGCAGTGATAGGTTTGCCGCCCGTATCGTCATTGCCACCAAGCTGGTTCACCGTGCAAGTCATCTCGACTGCCTTCTCGTTGTAGTCGCATCCGAGGCTCATGGATATCGTGTCGGTGGACATTTGGGCTTGGAAGCGCGTTTGCGAAAGGATGGTGACATCGAGGCCTGGGCCCCAGCCGCACTCGCTATCGTCAACGCCCGTGGGGCAGGCGATGTGGAACTCGGTAGTGGAGGGGTTGGCGGTGTTGATGGTTGCGACAGGGTCGATGCCGTCGTAGCCTACGCTTGTTAGTCTTTGATCTGCGGTATTCCTCGGACTAGAGTGACGCACCACCAGGGAAAAAGAAGCTGACGACGTCTTCAGCACAAGCCGCGCTTGCCAGGATGGAGAGGATAGCAATGGATTGACGCATGGTGGGCTTGGTGGGTCTCGTAAAAAACAAGGATTAGATTAGGGTATAACGGTCGGAGTTGCGCAAGTACAAAGAATGACTGGATTGGGTATAAATGAGTGTGTGGTCGCAAAAACGACTGACGATACGAGGAGCTGAGGCTTGACGGCGTGCAGACGCCTGTACGAGGAGGCGCATTGCTACTTAATATTTTCCCCTGACCTTGGTAACAAGGCTTGTTCGGCTAGTTGCCGCAGACAGGCTGAATGCTAGTGTCGATCTGCGTTAGCCGTGTGGGTTATCTTGTGGGAAATTAGACAATGCCATCCAGCGGAGCTATCCAGCCAATTAATTTTGCAAACCTAGCAGGCATAGGGTGCGTTGTCATGCTCATAGTGCCGGTAGATGAATTTGACAACAGCTTGACATGGTTCCCAGATGTTGTTCGCCGGTTCCCACGCGCGAAGATCGCGGATCCAGAGCAAGGGATTGTTCGTTCCAGTTTGTTTCTAAAGGCAGAGTCTTCTACCGATTCGATATACGCTTAGGAGGCAGCGATCCGTTTGGCGCGAGCGTTATCGATTTTCGGATGCAAGTGAGCGAGATTGTAATTCTCCTCGGCCGTAAAAGCTGCTGCACGATTCGAGGAGCAGGTCATCTGGCGATGCGCCGCGCCGTGGCGAAGCGCATAGCCTTCGAGAATTTCATGGCACCGGCAGAAACTGAGACGTTATTCTCTCCGGCCGAGGCTTGGGGATGCCAGTTTCAGGCCGCGACCATCGGACGAACGTGCGGATTGTCGATCATCTACTTTTTCAGACTTTGTCGCATGGTGAAGAGCGTTTTGTCACCCCCTGGGCATGTTGGACAAGGGAATGTTGGTGGAAGAGAGACGTGTGATGATCGTTGTGCGGAGAGCTGCAGGAACAACCGGCAGCTGCCCCACTTGGCAAATCACCGTAAGGTCCGATAAGAACAGCACTGCGCGCGCGCAATAACACCAGCCTGGGCAAAGTAATCCCTTTGAGTCTTCTGAGCCATCTTGCGACCTACGCACGACTCGTATCGAACTGAAATTGTGGCTAGTTGTATTATCAGCAACCCAAAGCTGGCCAACTTCGTGAACTCCGTACCGCCCAGCTCGCCTTAGCATGAGATGGCATCTCCCTCAACCGCGTCGCAAACGACTAACGGTATTCTCATTCTATGGGGATCTGTTGACTCTGCCACAATCGATCAAGATGCACTGAATGATTGGTGGACCAACGAGCACCTGCCCGAGCGTGTATGCCTCCCGGGCTTCCAACGCGCGCGCCGTTATCGCGCACAGAAACGCAGCGATGGCCTGGATAACTATCTAGCCTTATACGAGACTTCACGCGTCCAAGATCTCGCATCTACCGAGTACCTGTATGCGCTCAACCACCCGACGAAGAGGACAGTTCAGTTCATGCCATGTCTGGCGCAGATGAGCCGCTTCGCGTGCGAGAGGATCTGGTCGAATCCCTTATCGATCTCGAAACCTGATCATGCGACCAGCGACAACGGGTGGCTTTTGATGCTGGTGTTTAAGGTCGCTAATGCTACCGATGATCCAATCTCTCGTATTGATGACTGCCTCAGGCGCAAAGAGCATGGCGCGTTAGCGGAAACAACACATACTCAGATCGCAAAAGTAGATGCAGATATTACAAGAGTAGGAACGACGAGCAAGTCTTACGACGATGTTCAGTTCAACGACTCGAGTGATGGCGATGGCACAAAGCCGGCTGACACCTACATTGCATTGTTCGAGTTTGAGCGCAGTGCTGACGGCCCAGGACATCCCCAGTTTCCAAACAGCGAATGGCTTGCATCTCTCACCACCATCTTGACAACCGCCGGGCTACATATTCAATACATCAACACCTACACGCTCTTAGCCTCGCTCGCCAAAAACCAGATCGCGTGCTGACAACTTGACACGACGTCCGCCTACGCCAGGCTGGCCGCCTAAACTACGCGACACGCTTGCGGTATCGCGCGCCCCAGTTCCAGGCACCCGGCCCAATCGCGCGCCACCTCCCCACCAGGGCGCGCGAATTTGAGTATAGAAAGATGCCAAATTTGGGATTCTGAGGTCTGTGGCTGACAGGGGTATGCATCCCGTTGTTCCTGAGGCGCAACCGGTGAAGCTGCCAGCCCCACGATAAAGAACGCTGCGACGCCCGCATCGTGTGCTTACATCTGGATCCTCACATCTCTTACCACCACGAAAATAACGGCGTGTCTTCTACCAAGATGCCGTCCATGAACCTACCCACGAGCTTCGGGCCCTTCTCCGCCCTCCCTCGCGATGCTTCGCCCCGCTTGCGCATCATCCAAAACTGCCAATTGGGCATCGCACTCCTCGCCGTGGTCGCCGCCTTCTTCACCCTCGTAGTCCCATCGGAGCGCAAGTTCTTCACGTTGAGCCTCCTCTACACGCCCCTCTTGACGTCCATAACCACCGTCTACCTCGTCCGCCGAGAACAGAGGCGCGCCGTCGCTGGCACCCTCTCCAAGCAGAGATACATCAAGTACCAGTGTTTCAAGATGGCAGCTGCGATTGGCATGTCTATCATAGGCTTCATTGGACATATCGCTAGTACACCGGCGAAGGGAGATGCACACTTTGCTGGAGAGCGAGGACTGTGGATTAGCGGAGTCAAGATCAACACATGGCAGGGACTGTTGCTTTGGTTGAACTTCTTCAACTGGTAGGTCATCACTTTCCGATACCACAAGGGTCTGTACTGATCAGATTGCGTACTTAGGGTCTTCCTGTGGGCTAGCTTGTTCTACTCTTGCTGCATGACTGGTAGACAGCAGGGCTCCATTGCTCTCACTGGCGAGGAGGCACGCATTGGCATCAACCCTGAGGAGGCTGACGACGAGGCTATTGCTCGTGCCCTTCAGGCTGAGGACCCCAACTGGCAAGGATAGACTGCTCTAATGAAACCATATCCGAGTCGTTTTGTGGGCGACAAGAGATAGCGATGTCGTTCCCCAATCATATCGCATGATGGATGTAATCAGGATCAGTCGCTTTGCCATCTTCACTTCGGTAGCCTGCACTATGGCTCTGAATAGAATATGACAGTTTGGAGAGTTCAATCAGATTGCTGAAAGCTAGTACAGTATCGCAAACACGCTCCTTAAATCAGCTGTTAATGAATATGGATTCTACCTCTACGTATCATTACTATCTACTCCCTCCTCTCCATACCAAGTGACCACATCCACCTCACCCCTACAGCACCAAAGCAGCCCACCCAAGAACCCCAGCAACAACAACCGGCACCCCGACCGTCCCAGCAGCATCCGTAAACCCCGGCAGCTCCGAAACACTCGACGTGGACGGAGTCGGTTCAATAATAGCGGTCGCCGTCGTCGTATCACTAGCGCTAGGAGCAGGAGCATACGGAGGCGCAGCACTGCTCTCATCACCATCAGAAGCGACACTGCTCGGAGCGGGCACGAAATCCGTGGCCGTACCGGCTGATGGCTGGGGCGCAAGCCAAGTAGTGAGTTCTATGAGGCCGGTCTCACTCGTCGAGGGTGCTGACTGAGAAGACCCGGAGGAGCTCAGGTCAACGGTACCGGTGACACTAGCGAGGCTGGAAGGGATTTGCGTGATGACTGAGACGGTACGCGTAGTCGTGATGGTGGTGAGGGCCGTGGAGCACGAGTTGTCGGAGCTGATGTCGGTAGGCTCTACCAGCGGTGGCATCGCAGGGTAGGACTCTATGTGCACTGAGTCGGGGACAGGAACGGAATCTGAGGTTGTCAGTTTCTGGGGTTGAAATGATTGGATGGAAGGGGTGTACTTACATAGATCTGACTCTGATCTTTTCTTCTCAATGCGAGCTTCGCCCCGAATGCCTTCTGCGGCGGCAAAGCCGATGGCGATGAAAGCGACGAGCGACAGATGGTACTTCATGTTGAAACTCAATGGGTTCGATGTACGGAACGCTGGTGAAGTTGCTCGATTGAGAAGTCACTCGTTCAGGTGGGTTTAGGTGCGTATGAAGAAGTATCAGCAGCCGGCACGGTGGGGTGATGCTGGTTCTTATATTTGGATATCAAACAATCATTTGATTCGTCCTCTCGTGATACCTATGTGCCGCGTATTTCTTACCAGGCAACATCATGACACAGAGTACCAAGCGGGAAGACAATCTCTTTCAGTCAATAGTCTTCGGTTATCGGCTAGGTATACCACGCGCATGTTTCCTCTCGCGGCGTGTTTGTTTCACAGCCGTAAGTACCCATAGCGCTTGTACGAGCGAGTCTGACCAATTGGTTTATGCTTGATTGGCGGCCAAACGAAAGAACAGTTTAGATCAGGGGTATTGCGGCACGTATGCGTTGTTGCACTTCATCCCAATAGTCTGTGTGAAATCTTCCCAAGGGCACACGGGCAAGCAGCCGCCCGTGACACGTTTTGTGTGGTAATGTCGTAGAAGCAACCCCCAATATTGTTGGAACAGCCCTGGCCCGAACAGTTTGTCGTTCAATTAGCAATATATCTGATCTCCGGTACTTGTGCGCGTTACTCTCGCATCTGCAAACTCGTGCGAAGGATTGTTAAGTGTATGCGCCACTTTCTTATGCCCTTGGAGATGAACATCGTGCGCTCAAGCGACACGAAGACGCTGTGTGACATGAGAAGCCTGCATGCAGCCTCGTACCTCTTACATAACGATCTGCTGAGGCGATGCGGTTTGCTTCAAAATAAGCAGCGTCACTGATCCCATCACACATGCCTCTGGTAGGTCATTGGTCCCGGATCGTGTTGAGTGGGCTCGGTGCGATTCGTATTCGGCAACAAGACGTAGCAGTAGCGTGACGAGGATTGTACCCCTGGTCTGAGTAGTTGCTAGGTGATGAATGTAGCGATTCGCAAGAATTGTTCAACCAACTTCCGACATGTTTGCTTGAGTATGAAGATGTACTGCCGCCGGCATGGGGATGTTTGGTCCTCCATCCAGACTTCTGGTCCTGCTCGGCACCTTGCTCTCCTGACGACAGTTCTCTTGGTGGGTTCTTGTGTTGTTCTTCGCTTCAGAGTTGAGATTATCGCTGCCAATCATGTCAGGCTCCTTCTCCGCCCTAGGTTTCCAAGACGGCAGTTCGTAATCAGGCACGGAAGTGCTACCTGTAGAGGAATCTCCCGGTTTTCTCATGCGGACATCTTCTTGCGAGAACGAGATATGGTCGTTGCCGAACAAACCGCGAATGAGCGAACGTCGTTGCTGTGGTACTTCCGCAAACATATCGGCATTGAACATGTCTTCACCGGGCGAAGACGAGAAAGTCAAGAGTCGTGAAGGGTCGTTACCAGGGTTCGGGGTGCCTAGGGCTATGGTCTTGATGAGGTGAGCCATGGACATTTCTATGTTGAGCTTGACGAGGTATGCCAGAGGATGGAACATAGCGTAGCTGTAAAAGTTAGTCGAGCTGAGCGAGGGTGCACTTGAGCAAGACAAACTCACACAAATCCATTGGGGATGCTCATCGCGCCAATGATCAAGACATCCAACAGGAGAGAGACGATAATGATGCGCTTGTTGAAACGGACCAGGCGATTGTACTTGCTTAAGCCGTTCTTAACCAGGTCCGCATTGACGACGCGGATGAAGTACCAATTGAGGTATCCATCAAGGAGAAGAAATAATACTTTCTCGGTGCGATCCCAAATAGCGTTAATTCGAACCCAACTGCGTCCATTAGTGGGCATACTCGTGAAAAACGGATTGCAGGCGTACTTTGAGCTTATTTGCAGCCGCGCAGGTATCCAGATAATGAACACGCTGATGTTGATCAAGGTCACATAGATCGCGGCGCCTGCGACGAGGCGCCGGCCTTTGACTCGATCCCCAAGGATGATACGAATGCGATTGATGATAATTTGAGGCAGCAACTGAATCTGAAAAACCCAGCAAAGCACTGCTGATGTCAGCCAAGTACAGATGCCAAGGCCACGGTATACTTGCGGACTGAGAAGAAGAAGTAAAAGCTAGGTTCTATAATCCTCAACAAATACAACAGGCAATCGATGGCGAGAGCTACCGAAGCCGCGATTTCCAGCCAAACCATCCAAATATAGACACTGGTCCTTGGGCGTCGACATGCTTTCGTCTGCCTAATGGCGATGAAGGCTGCGGTTATGGCGAAGAAGTTGGTCAGACCGAACGCTGCAGCCGCTACAGCTATGTCTGCGCGAGTCACACGTATAGGGCGGTAGTTGTCGCGAACAAACGGACCCCAAGCACCGAAATCTTGGGGTGGAGCGATCTCTTCGCCCATGGGGAGTTCTAGGAGGCATTCGTTGCGGATGTCGTGGGATGCATAGCGAGATATGAGGTAGAGCCTACCAAGGCTATTAAGAAAATTTCGTTGTTTGAAGCGGCCCGTGGCTTGCACTATTGGGGGATCGCGGAGCCGATGGCGCTACCCCACAAAGTTCAGGATGTAAAGATCCGGTAACGACGAGGGACCATCGACGCGCGTGCATGATAGGCGTTCCATCGGAATGACACCTGAGCTCTGCACATCACGATACACCTCGATGCGAACACTTCTTACAACGGAATTGGATCGCTTGAGATGCCTCGAGCAGAACAACGGACTATGATGACGTCGATCGTATCTTGGATGGCTGTCGGGATCTTGCGCCGCATATGCTGATTGGGCGAGTCGCGAATGAGATGTGGTGGTGGCTTTGGTTTGCTTCTCCTCAACAGCAGCCAACGCTGTCTCTGCTGCAAGCTGAGTGCTGATCGCGATCATTATGACCCTCTGGTCACCTCGTGGTTCAGGGTAGCGGATCTCGGTGGTTTTCAGTGGTAGTGCCTCCGGCCGAGCGCACTTGCCATTTTTCTAGGTTCATCGTCATTACGTGAGAAAAACGCTGCCGTACATCACGGTATC